CGATTGATATCTGCTGATCCAGAGCAAACTTGTCAGGACGAGCTGACCGTTACGTCTCTCTCGCGTATTTTGGCGCGCACACAGAAGGCTCCGAATCGCTCGCCTGCACCTGCTGCAGGGTTCTTGGGTGTTGCTGTCTGGCCGAGCGCGGGGGAAGGGGGGTAGGACACGGGACGGGGTTGAGGGCGGTTGCCCTTTTACAGAAAAAACAAACGCAACCCGGCGATGGCCCACCCCGTGCGCACAGGCGCTGATTCGCCAACACCCTCGCCGGTATGCTCACAAACACACGATGGGGTCGACGGTCTCGGAACAGTCCGTTGATCTTGTGTTTCGACTCTGCCCATTTCTCCCGCCGCTGCCGTCCTCGCTTACACCCCACACCCGACGCGTTTTCGTTGGTGGCCGTGCTCTACCACAGAGGGGACCTCAACCGAGCTTCCATGCCATGCTATGTATGCAAATAGGACAACGTGCTCGAGGTGCAGCACCCGCACCAGCAAATGGGACACGAAGAACCAGGGCATGTCACCGAATCCCAACAAGCTGAGAATGGCGTTCTCACGATGGTACATCCGCACCACCTTTGGCCTTTGTCCCGCCCGCCCACACACTTGAGTTTCTGATCTGGTCGCACAACCAAATCCGCGCTGCCCGCGCTAGGCTGATGAGCAAGGCAACCCCCTGCCCAACCCCAACATGATCAACATGGGCGTCCACGTCATGATGGCAGACATGCCTCCCCCCAGCATGGCCTCCGATGACCTTATGACGGGTGCCCTGAGCGCCTTTGAAGCGGTCCGTTCTTCTGGCCGCGCTACCCACCGCCAAAGACATGCTGCCCTGACCCCACCTTCAGTACGACGGTATCCCCGTCAAGCCTAACACTTGGTGATGTACGCCCGCCTCCTCCTGCCTCCTCCCCCTTTGCAGAAATTTCCGCGTGCCAAGCCCCCACACGTCACCGATGGATCGGTCCTGGACCTCCTCAAGCAATCCCGGTGCTGGAACAAGCATGACATTGATGTGATCCTCTCAAACATCCACGTGCGCCGCCACCTTGACAAGCTGCCCATCAGCAAACAACTATTCAACCGCGCCATCACACTCTACCAACACGTGCAGCGCGTGCCCTTTAGCCAAGAACTCCCTCCTCTCCCAACTGCCACTCGCTCACGCCATCGATACATCTGCCTGGCCTGTGAACGCCATCACGGGCTTCCCTCAACCATTCGACACATTGGCTCCACCATGCCCTGCACAGTCAAGAGTGGCTTGCCTGATTGGCACACTTGGCGGCCGTGCCCCTGGGCCATCTTTGGGGCCGACTTTATTGCTAGATGTCTTCGTCCCATGAAAAATCTCAAGCGCAAGGCGGATCGGAGCAGCCCCGACCCCAGCTATGTGCACCTGGACATGGGTCAACCTGACTCAGGCCCCGCCATGGCCCATGGTCAGCTTCTAACAACTAGCCCCTCCCCCAAGGTGCCAAAACCCAATGTCGATCTCCTGCTCTCACACCTCCGCGACATTGAGTCCAACGAAGTGCAGCGCCACGCGTCCACCATGCACGCCATCTCTTTGCTCCGCAACGAGATGATGAGCCTGACTGCCCCCGCTTCCAGCCTGCATCAAGATCATCCAGCCATCATGCAGCCACATATGCTCCGACCCGGCTCCATGCACGGTGTTCCCTTACCCGGCCACCTCCAGCACATGACCGCCGCCGTCTCGTCCATGCCTTCAGCTATGCCCACCGCTGCCAACTACATGCACCAGCCTCCAATCGTCAACGAGGCGGCCGAACCCGAACCAGATGGCCAAGATGAGCCCGAGGAGCCCCAACAAGCAGCTGCCCACCCACCCGCCTCTGCCGCCGTGGAAGAGGTGCCCGTACCCCGCTGCAACCGCTCCACCAGCTGAGTGGCTCTTGGAACACCAGTTGCTGCATCTGAAACATCATGTTTCCTGTTTTTGTGGCAAGCTCGCTGCGCGAGACACTGGCTGCTTGCGAGCACGGAGAGGAATCAGTCGCCATGATCATTGTCAAAGACTGTTTCTTGCTTGAGTCGCAGACTACAGCTTCTCACCGTACCCTGCACACGTCAATTTCATATTATGATGTTTACGCTCTCTCTTGAAAACGCTCTCTCCTTTCAAAACATGTTCCAGCGCCCAGCGCCTTGGACCTTCCCTCGCCCTAAATGTCTGCTTATGCACAAACCAGTGCCGTACTAGATGATGGTGCACCATGCCGAGGCCGCGGGAAGACAAGTGTCAACCTCACTCGGAACACACGCCCAAATGCCATGAACGCTGCGATAAAGCAGCCAAGCATCGCCTTGGTCTGGAGGCATGTTGACATAGAACTGAGACAGGCGCCCAGCCTTTGTAAACCCCCGCCTGTGCTCAAGCCCGCGCCCAAAGCAGTGAGCTCGTGGAAAAAGAATGCCCATAAAAACGCCGGTTTTTGTTGTGCGGCCCACGAATGGCGTACCGCTGATAAAAGCGAATGGCCGAGGGGTTGGCGTTCGCCACATGAAGGTAGAGGAATGAGGCTAGCAGGGAATGAAAACCCAAGGCAGCACAGATAGATGGTCATAAAAGGCGCAGTACCCAGTTTTGCCCGGTGGATTTTATGGGAAGAGGCCCAAGCATACCGAACGCGTCCTTTTCCAGCTGCTCCAAGAGAGAAGTTAGCAACCTCGAGCCTGCACGAGGTGACAGACAGTCGGGGGGTCACAACTCGGCACGCGATGGCTGGACACAATCGAAAATGTTACCCAGACGCACCTATGCCCTGTCCTTGCCAAGGGTCATCCACGCCAAAGGTCATGATATAGGCAGCCGTCGTGAAGCCCCTGGGTAGTAAGGACAGGGGCTGAGGCCCAACGACAAGCTCGCAGGTAAGTGGCAGTCTTCTGCAGATTCCAGACAACACCTCCTTGAGGGCAGTCGGGTCTGAGCAAGATGAGGCGCATACCGTTCCTTCACGCTCCACCGTCTCTCGTGTACGGTAGGAGCAACTGAGAAAGCCCACGATGCCGACGCCTCCAACCTCTGCCACCAACGTGGAAAGCTGCTGTCCAACGACGAGCTGCCGCGGAGGCATGCTGGTGAGGTGACTGGCGTTGAGAAACCCTTGGTGCGTGGGCAACTGACCTTTTGAAAGAAGCTGAGAGGATAGCGGATGGGCAACAAGGCCTCGTGCAGCCTACACGCAATGCGGACCGCCATCGTTATCCTCATCAGGTCAGAGCCTAGGCCGCATCGCCTGCACCACAAATCACCATCCAAACGTACTCGCGCAACCGTGGCAGGTCGCGTGCTTGCGCGACACGAATCAACACGCCCGCCCCAAGCTGTACCTGAGGCGCCCTGCCTACGGCTGCCATCGTGGCAACCCCGCACACCCAGTACCAATCCTTATAACCCTTGATACCCTCCCACCCCAGGCGGGAAGATCACCGCCGCCATCCTTCGAATCGAATCGATAAAAACGTCTCTCCTTCTCAAAAATTTAAAATATCTCTCTCTCTCTCTCTCTCTCTCTCTCTCTCTCTCTCTCTCTCTCTCTCTCTCTCTCTCTCTCTCTCTCTCTCTCTCTCTCTCTCTCTCTCTCTCTCTCCCCTGACTGTGCACGACACAACATGCAAGCATATAGCGCCTGCTCTGCCGCCTCCAGCACAAGCCGGCTCGGCGGCAACGTGGAATGGAATTCAGGAATCACAGATCGCATAAGGAGCCTCAATTGTCCGCACCATATCCCAAGACGGGCGGATCAAACGAGCACGCGCTGCAACACAAGTACACCCGAACCAAGTAGGATCCCTTTTACGTAGAAAACTGCAGCTGCTCGACAAAGGGATGACCAAGCCCGAAGATGCGCTCGGCCCGCGAGCGAAGGGCGGTGAGACGAGAATTCAAACGACTGGCATCAGACTGGTCTCCCTCACACGCAAGCGCGTGGGCCGAGCGCAAAGCAAGCCATTCAAACTCCAGCAGCTCGGGCCAAAGCGTCGGCACGAGGCGGCTCAGACTTGCCGCCACCTTTGCCAGTTGTTCCTGGGCGCCCTCCCGGTGTGCCTCGTCCTTGTTCAGGCGAGCGAAAAGCCGCAGCCTGGCCTGCATCACCAGAGCGTGCTCTTCAGGTAGGAGCGAACCTACCACGTCTGCCACTGCTGATGGTTCCCCCGCCTGACTCAGTGCCTCACGGGCTTCGGTCAGACGTGACTGTACAGCACTGGCCGTCACCACGGCACCACAGCCACCAGCGTCACTGTAGCAGGTGGCCGTTTCTGTATCGTCCTTGCCCGATGCGCTTGTTTGTGTCCAGCGCAGAGCTAGCCCGCACTGCGGACAAGATGGCATGCTCGCCTCGTGCTCATGGGGAAACGCATCGGGATGCTGACACCGGTAGCAGGTGCAAGTAAACTCCTTGCTGGCCAGGAGGTGGGCCTGGCGTTCCGCTCGCGGCAAGGTAAGGTCTACATAGGATACAAAGAGTTCTGCTCCTGCTCGGACGGTCCCAAGTGTGCGGACCTCGAGCTCGCCTCCCGGCCGCGATACCACTGCACAATTAGGATGACAGCTGTGGTTGACGAGGGCGATGACAGGAAAGTGCCCCCATGCCGTCTCTCGGTTGGGCTCGCGTGCTGCCCGTACCGAATAGCCATTGCGATTGAGCATGCCAGCCAGCAGCACCAATACTTCAACCAGCGACCCGCTGCTTTCGCCATGACTGGACTGCTGCACTAGAGGCAGAAGCAAGTCCGTGGCCGCGGCCACAACGGCCGGCGGCAGCCCCTGAACAAGCACAACGGCCGCCATGGTGACACCATTCAACCAGGTGTCTGAGGGTGCCGAAACATCTTGATGTGCAAGACCCCATAGGGTATCACGCCACGCCTGCAGGCGTGCCGCGGCCGGCGCAGGCAAATCATCGCTCGTTGTCGCGGCCAAATTGATCACGCGTAGCCAGAGTAGCACAAGCTGCCGATCGACGCCGTACGCCTGTAGCTCGTCAAAGAGGCCCGCCTGCATCAGTGGTGCCAAAATGCGTTGCTCACGGGCAGCCAGCGCTCGGCACGGGGCCAACTCCGACTCCTCCTGTGTGCTTGTGTGCATATCAAAGCAGACGGGGCAGATGGCCCCGCTCTCGCTCGCAGCAACTGCGCAGCCAATCTCGCGCACCACCACGGTACCCGGCGCCAGCTCCTTCTTTGCCACCACCCGCCAGCCTGCCCCAAGTGGGTGCCGACTCTCATCCCATAGCAACTCAGCCACCCCCACAGCTGCGTATGCCGCCGCTCCCGCAACCTCTGTCCGGGCTGCCATGCCGACTTGTCGTGATGTTGAAGAAAAAAAGAAAAAATAGAAGTCAGCCATTGCACGTGGTGAGACGCACCGAATTTTTTCATATTTTTCTCATAATTTTGGCCGAATAATTTACATGTTAACACAAGAAGGCGATGGGTTTGGACGAAAGAGTTGCCGCCCGGCCCGTGGTGGAGGCTGACAGATCATTTCTAGAGCCAGGCACGGATCGAGATGTTTATTCTTCTCGGCTCTCCCACCACGTAGGATACACACCACCCACCATGCATTTCTTGATAAGATGTATCCCACACATACAAACTAAGAAACAAAAAGGAGAACTCTTACTCTCTCAAGCGAGAGTTTGTTGCCAGCAGCCATGTGTGATAAAAACGAGCAGCCAAAGGCCAAGCCAGCTCAATCACAGTTGAGGGCCAGGTGGCTTCCCTATTTCATCCAAACCGTATCCGAGTCACAAGCTTCAAACTGAAAAAGACCAAGAAATGAAATCTATTGTTCGGAAGCAATTGACGCGAAGGAGCCGCAGGGCACACGAAATACAAACATGCGCCACCAAACCACTGTGGTATGTGGCGCCAGCAGCTGATCATCTATCTCTCTATCGTCTCTGTGACACACACAAACACATACACAAACACATACACACACAATCACAGCAGCACATCAATCAGGACCAAACCCAATGCTTCAAAAAGGTACAGGGATCTCAAGCTGATGTGGACGTCTTCTGGCGCAGTCGCAAGAGTCGCTGCTTCAGCAGGGCAAGCTGAGGGTCTTCACTTCCATCGGCCTTGCCCTGCACATTCTCCTTCCGCAGCAAAGGCTCACGGCCCTGTTCACAATACAGACACATGCGTGCAAATGGAGGCACACAGGCCAGCGACAGCAAAAACAAACCAGAAACAAAAGGTCAGCGGTTACGAAAAGAGGCAGCACACTTCAACAAGCGAGATAAAAAAAGGCGCGAGGAAACAAAAGAGTAGCCGCGTACGAACCGGCAGGGTGCCCGACAAAGAATCAGTCTGTTTTTCTGGGGCGGCTGGGGTTGGTTGTTCTTCTTGCCCTTCCGCCTCGGTGGTGCTGCCCTCGGCCAGGCTGCGCTTGTAGGAGACAAGCTGGTTGCGTGCTTCCATAACGTTTTGCAACACGTCGGCAGCCGATCCCGGCATGGAGAGCAGAGCCGCACCCGAGGGATTGCGAGAAAACTCATCCAATCGACGCTTGATGTATCGCCGCATGGGCGCGGACAGGTGAGACGCAGCAGCAAGCACATCCACGGTGGGGTGGGCCAGATGAAAGGCCTTCAGTTGGCGCCAACCTTCGACACTCTGATCCTTGCTTTGGATCATATCCATCATTTGACCCAACTCGACTGCATGCGGTGCAGAGGTTGACAGGGCGTGCCGCGGCGCACTGCCACCACGGAGCTCCACCATGATGCTTTCACGGTTTTGAGCCAAGCGCTGCTCATCACGCGTGAATGCGGCCGTATCTGAATCAGGATCTTCTGCCTCGGCTTCCGAGGCGGGAGCATCGGCGTTGGTACCCATCACGGCCTCTGACGACACCATGATACTCGGCTCTACAGGCGCACCGGCGCGCTGTGCACCAAACATGGCCTCTGGGGGAGGGAGCTCGCGTTCCATGTCGGCCTCGGTCAATGACGGGTCAGACCGCGCCAAGCGCTTGCGCAGCAGATAATACACTCCGCCCTTGCGAGACAAGTCAGCGCGCGTCAAGCGATTCAATACCTTGATGCCATGGCGGTGCACCATGATGCGGAGCACAGCCGTCACACAGCGAAAGGCACGTTGGAATGGATGGGCCAGAGTCTGGTCCTTGAGCAAAGCTACCGAATGCTTGGCAAAGAGGTTGTCAATGGAGCCCAAGACCACGGCCTCCTCCATGATGGTCAGCTCGTCCAAGAGGGAGGGCTCACCCACATTTTGGGGCAGGAATCGCGCAAACATCTTATTTACGGTCAGCGTCTCGCCGACACTGTGTAGGACCGTGTCCCGAGCCACGCGCACCAATGCTGAGACCATGGTTCCCGCCGGCGTCAACTCATTGATGGCATTGAGGGTCGCGTTGTAGGTCTTGAGCGCCGAGTCACCAAGGGAGCACTCGCTAACCGTGCGAGGATCTTGCATGCGGTGGATCATTTCAAGCAAAAGCGCGGCCAGTGGCTCGGGCTGCACCGCAGCGCGGAAGTCGGCATCCTCAAACGCACGCTCAATCAACAAAAATAACGAGCGGATAATCGACTGCTGATCTTCACTCGACAGCGATGTGTTCTCACCCAAATGGGTGGTGTAAAAGTTTGTCAGCTGGGCGCGGCAGGCCAAGAGCACACGATCTGCCTTGGGTGCCACGTGAGGTCCCATATTAGTGCTCATCGTCTTCAACGCCTGGATTGCCACGTTGGCGTCGGATGAGCTGCACGAGTCAATTGTCTCCTGTACGGGGTCGTGCTCGTTGCCCGCGATTGAAATGCGTGGCAATGCCTGCCCAGCGCAAAACAAAATGCAATACAGTGAGCGCCGGCCAGTCAAGCAGACAATCGGGCAGGGCGAGCGTGTGCGTACCGCAACCGAGGGTCGGCTCAGAGTATGGCTATTGGATCGTGGACGTTGCAAAGCACCCTCACGTGCCATGGCACCCGGAGAAGGCAGCGCGTCGTCCTGTTCATCGGGGAGGACAAACAACTCGGGCATTTCCTAACGGGTTGAGGACAAAAAGCACACACAATTGCTGAGACGGACAAAGACAGCCCAATTCAAAGCCAAGACACGAGGGCCAGTTCTCTTTCTTGTTGGAACGCGCTGCGTACAGGGTTGAGATCAGCCGAAGGGGTAAACTCATCAAAATTAAAGTCCAACAAGCCCTTCGTCACGGCCACAGAGGTGACTGTGGCTCCCAGATTCGAGTCACCATCCCGCGACTTGGGCTGCGGCGCGGTAGATCGCGAAACGCGAGGGGCAGCCGCGGACTCGGGTCGACGGACGGGCACCTGGCTCGTCACTGCGGCAGCCACCGGCGCCGTCGTCTCCTGCTTGGAAGCATGTCGTTCCAGCCGCTCCTTGACCATACTGTATCAATGCCACATTGAGAGACGGCGCGACATGAGCGTCGATTGTGGCCAAGCGTTGTACTTGTTCCACGAGCTACTTCAGTTTTTCCCCTTCTTCCAAGAGCACGGCAGCAAGACCAGCATGCCACACTTACTCGCTTTCCTTGCCGTTGAGTTGGCCCATAAGGGCGTGCACCTTGTCGCCGATGATGTCGTGGACATTGCATACCACCGTCAAGGCTACAATGTTTCATCGCAACACCACGCATATGAACATCTGTATCAAAAAAGGCCAGTAAATAGCGACAAAGCTTGGCACCGACCTGCATTGCGAACATTCGAGTCCCGATCAGCAATGTTGGAAGCCACTGTTTTCATGGCCTTGGCCGGACCCTGAGCACCGCAAACGCTCATGCCGTGTTTTTGAATCAGGCGTCCAATCTCTTGCATGCAAGCCTCTCGCTGGCGCGCGTTTTTGGTCTTGAGGCCATCCAACAGACGTCCAAATAGCTTGCTCGAAGGGTAGACAAACTCGAGGGCGTGCATGATGTCCTTTACACTTTTTCGAACGGGTTCCATCTTGTCACCCGATTTTTGCAAGAGGTAGGGCACAAAGGCCGCCGCTTCATAGTCGGACAGCTCGTAGTTGCGCTCGCTGGCGGTCCGCAAAAGACCATGTGTGAAGGTTAAGGACTTGAGCAGGACCGCTGGGTTTGTCTCGAAAAACCGCAGCGTCACCCACATCAGCAGCAGGTCAAGCTGACTGCAGGCTTCTGCTGCGAAGAACGCCTTCTCGCCGCAAGCACACTGCAATGGCGGGATTTCACAACCAAATTGATCAGCCGAGATACATCCGTGTGGACAGGCTTCTTTGACACCTCAGAGTTCGGCCTCACCTCAATAAGCATGTCAAGTGCCGTGTTGAAGTCCTTAAAGTCAGAAGAGAACATGAGTTTGTGCAGTTCACGGCTGACGCTGGGTTTGAACTGCTGACTCAGTTGCTGCACATGCTCTGGACGGGGCGTGTCAAAGCTCCACTTGAGCACCTAGTAAGAGTTAAGATTGAGCATTCATTCTGCTGCACCATTGTCGCAGGACGAGGCGCCAATATGGAAACAGGAAGCAAGACGCAAACAGTGCACCGTACCTTGTGGGCCTTGATGTCCTTCATCCGGCTGGCGCGCCCGGCACTGGTCGACAGGGGTGGTTCACGAACATCATCTGATTGTAGTCCCGTATCAATCTGTAGTAATCGGGTACCACAGCATGATGAGCAGTCGGCATCATGCCAGGAGACGCTGGTAATGAAGCACGTCGAATCAGCAAGGCGCACCTTGGACGCAGTGCTTTTGCGTGAGGCTTCTGCACGGGAGCGGTCCGATTTGGCAATGCTGCGTCGCGGCACCTTGGTATCGCCCGAGGAACCACGCGTCGAGGCGGACGCTTGTGGCGCAGCTGCAGCCGCAGGCGCTGCATTCGTCGCGGCCGTGCTAGCGACGGCACTTCCAGCTTGCTCGATTGCCTTGTCAAGACACGCCAGCATTGTGGCCTGATCGCCATCCTTGCGCGACATGATGGCTTTCTTCAAAAGCGAAGGCTTGATAATTTTGACCAGGGCCTGAATTAGAGCAAACGCATTGATATCCACAAGAGCGACGTGAGTCTTGGAGCAAATACAAGCACATTGCGCACAAGGGATAGCACAACGCGCCTGCGAGTGGACTTACGTTGAGCAGCGTCTGTGCTGCGCGACGGACATCCTGATTGCGATCTACAAGCTCGCCAAGTGTGGGCTTGACCAAGACCTTGACGTCCGTCAACTACGCACGGGTCAACACAGCGGTCAGCAATGCCATCTTGCTCTCTGATCTTATGCGCATTCAGAGCAGGAAGAGAAACGCGGAGGCTTGTGCGGCTGTCATGCACCAGCCATCGAAATGTCGCACCTCATCAGCAGCATCGATTTGAGATGCCAACCAGGTCATAATGGATGACTGGCCATGAGGCTTTCCCGATAACATGGCAGGAACGCAATTCTGTTCAAGAGCAAGGTCAGTTCAAAGCAATGTGTTGAAGAGAAAACAAAAACACGCCAACGTACAAACAAAACCCAACCAAAATGAAACAAATGCGCGAAGTGCACGCTAGCAAAAGAGAGCCCAGCTGGTCAACATCGCGGCATCAGATTTCCTGGTAGTGGTGGACATGACCTACGCACCTCGAACATGACTTGGACATCAGCTTGCGCGGCCCATGCATCAAGGGCTTGGATGGCGGCCGCACGCACGGCTTCCTTGGGGTCTGTCAGCACACCCACGACGCCTGCCTGCAGGTGTTGAACAAAGCCACGGACGCCTTCGGGGCCCATGGCACCTGCCATGCGGCCCACATGGTTCAAAGTCGTTGTGATCAGGTTCTTGTTGCTATCCTCCAAACGCCGGGCCAACGGCAGGGCTAGATCGTTGAAGTCAGCCGTCAGATAGGGGTGTTTATCCAAGGCTGCGCCAATGGCGTCCAAGGCCGCGCTGCGAAGCTTCCACGAGGAGTTATCCAGCTCTTCAATGGTAGAGGGAGGCAGGACCGAGGCGAGGCTCACGCGTTGGCCATCAAAAGCAGCAGCAGCAGCCTTTGCTTGGGCAGCGCGGGACGGAGGGGCCGATGATTCACCAGCAGCCTCGTTGCTATCTGTGCCCTCCTCGATACCATCTTCATCGCCGTGTTTGCTCTTGCTTGAGGCCACCGTGGGTGCAGTCTTGCCCGCATTTTCGGCACAGCGCTTATCAATCAGCTCAACAATGGCTGGCTTTTCGTTGCGGAAAGCAGCCTTAATCCCATCCCCCATGCAGAGATGCAGGGTTCCGATGAGCTCGACGGCGGCTGTCCGTACGGCAGGGTTCATGTGCGCGAGGGCCTGTTTGCAGAAGGCAACAACAGGCTTCGTGGCCAGGGCCAGGCCATGTTGCTGGATGAGCTCGGCCAAGAATTGCTGAGTTTCCGATTGTACCTAATGAGGCGCATTTTCCATCAGTATTGGCTGGACGTGGCAACACGGTTGTTTCGCACGGTAGGTCCTTGAACGAGAACACCTACTTTGGGGCTACGGTGTGTCTTGGCGGCCTGGCACAAACGCAGGGCCACAAAGTTGAGACCTAAAACGTCGGTCAAGGCCTGGCACAGCTCACGTGCTGCTTTGGAGACCTTCAGATCACCAAGTTTCTCCGTCAAAACGGGCAAGATATCGTGGGCACAGCCGGGATGGCAGGCACTGGCTTGCACGATGGCCGTGGAGAGTAGTTCAAACATTCGGCTCATCACCTAGCACGGGGAAATAGCGGACAATGCGTTAAAAGGTCATTGGCAGGTCATGGGGCACCAACAGAAGATGGCTAGAACGTGACTCTCTGAACGCGGGAAGTCAGGCCTAGAATGGATAGGCAGGGCCAACCTGGAAGTTGCTCTCTTTCCATTGCTTGGATCTCTCCTTCAGGAGGCTGAAAAGCGCTGTAATCTCCCGCTCGCCTACGTGCACCACGTGGTTAGAGAGGTGGTGGGGCGGCAATCATTTTTGGATTCAGCAGCGATGCGGCTGTTGACGAACCCAAGCTTGCAGCCCCGACCATGGGAATGCTCGCATCAAGGGCGGCCAAGCGCTCTTTCCAGACGCTAGATTTCAGATCAGTAATGATGGTGGGCTTCAAAACCCCACCCAGAGCTTCTTCCGCCTGAACAAGCAAGCGCGAGGCAAGTACAAAAAGAAAAAAAAAAGAAGAAAAGTCAGCCCGCTTTAAACTTGAGACGGTTTACCAACGGGATCGCAAGACTGACCTGGTCGTCAGCCATGGTGACGTCTGTTGGGGTATCGATCGAGTCACTGTAGGCACCCGCACCGGCGGGACCACTACCAGACGCTCGGTTTGAAGTTTTGCCCTGGGTTTGGCATGGGAAATGAGCGCAATTTGGCACCGCCTCAAAACAGGCGTGGGCTTCCCGCCAGATTATTTTTGCGCACCTTTGAAGACACTGCAGTGGACGCGCGGCGGGCGGGCTTTGCACCAGTAGCAGGCCGAGAGCTCGCAGGCTTGGCCTTGGTGGCCTTGGTGGCCTTTGGCTTGGCACTGGTGGGGGCCGCGGTGCTTGCTGTTGCCTTACGCGCGGGCTTCGTTGTTGTGGATGCAGTGTCTTCCAGACCGCTCATCTCCTTCTCAATCTTGGCCTTCATGCGGTCATCCAGTTGGGCCACATAAGGCTTCATTGGGCGCTCACCGGCCACCTATTTTCACCCCCACACCGAGGTCAAGAGGAAGCTCAGGCATCAAGCATAGTACACACCCTCACAGGTACAGTCGGCTGCGCTCACTGGCCGATTGCGAAGCACAAAGGGATTGCGGTGTCGGGAGGAAAAAAATAAAAATAAAAATTTACCTTCCAAAATGCAGCCAGAGCAGAGGCGGCGGCGTCGCGAACCGGAGCAACTCGATCCTCAAGGTTGGTCACCAAAGCAGGACACAGTTTGGACATGAAGCCTTTGTCTGCCGCGTTGCTGCCAGCATTGAGGACGCAACGTTGCAGTGACTATGGCGCAGCCACGCGAGAGCCAGGGCAACAAAGAGTGCCACGTGAGCCGAGGACATCAACAACACATTGGAGGCAGAGTTGAGTTGAGAGTTTACCAAAGCGGTCTGTTGCTTTTGTTCAGGATTTTTGGCCTGAAGGCTGGTGACAAACGGGTCAGCCGTCTTGTCAAGGCTGAGGCTGCGAAAGCAAGCAATGACGGCGGCCTGGATGCTCTTGACAACGCTGAGCTTCTTCTCACGGAATTTCTCCAGAAGTGTTTCAAAAATCTGCCGCGTGAAATTTGGGATGAAAGGTCGACTCGTAAGTTTTCACATCAAAGCGCTGACAAGTTCCCATGGCGAATTTCGTACAATGTTGGCACAGCGTTGGAAACGCTCTCGCAGGCCGTCGGCCATGGCGGTGATGCAGTTGCCAGCGGCGGCCACAACCATTACGTTTGAGTCTTGAGCGATGATCTGCATTCAGGCATATGAGCATGAGTTCCAATGGTTGACAGCCCTGGCATCGTGAGAACGATCGAATCACAGTCCAGCAAAGCACCCACCGTTTTCAGCTGATTCACGAGATCTTCGTAGGCCCCGTCCGCCAGGCGGGGGACCGCCAGAACCTTGTGCGCAGCCTCGAGCGCTTCAAGACGATCTTTCCACTTGGGCTCGCGTAAGGCGCTGCTCAAGTTTTTGGGAAGTTGGCTCAGTGCTTCTACAGGCTCAGCCAGCTCGTAGGCGTCCGGCATGCTGGCGGCTTCTTCGTCAATGTCCTCGCTTTCTTGTTCACTGCCCTCGGCTGCGGCCGTTGCACCAGCAGGTCCGCCTGCAGTGGGGCGGGCACCAGCCTTGCGCAGGGGCTTGGCACCGCCGGGGGTGACGTCTGCCCAAGCAGCTTCGATCTCAGAGACTTGCACTGGCTTGAGAGATTTGAGGGCAGGCTGAACAGCAGGGCCCAAAAAACCATACAGAGTCACCGTCAGGGCTTGGGCCGCGTCGCGCACGTCCTTATTGGGTGAGGCAAAAGGTTTGGCCAGCTCCTAATACGGAGACCGTGGTCCGTGAGAGTGGCGCACTGTTGGGACTTTGGCGTAAAGGTGAGGTGGAGCAACGTACCTTGAGGATGGGCTTTGGGGCGATGAGTGTGGGGCCAAAGTTTTCCAGCAGCAGATTGAGGACGACGCATCCACCCATGGCGGTCTTGGGCTGACGAGCGCCAAAGACGGCGGCCAAGGGCTCCACAACGCCTTCACCAGTGCCAGCTGTATTCACGGCCTCGACTAGCATTTCTCCAGCTTTGTCCTACAATTGAGAAGCGAGGGCCCCATAATTTTACGTGTCAGCTTCCGGCTAGCTTGGTAGGGTTGAGGCTATCTGCCAATCGGACCCGCCGAGGGAGGCAGAGCAGGGGCGAGTGCGAGTCTGTTGAAATGCAAAAAAAAAAAAAAAAAAAAAAAAAAAAAAAAAGCAACTGACCCGGATGGAGGTTTTGACGGAGCCAACGCATTTCTTGGCCGCATTACCAGCCAACTGGCTCAGCATGCCAGACACTTGGGACCTGTGGACATTATGATTGTGGGCTTTCAGTGAGGCAACGCCTTGCAAAGTTGGGCACCAAAAAAACCAAACAAACGAATTTTGGGAATGCACCTACTTGGAGGCATTGGCAACAAAGCTGCAGGCAGCTTCGAGAGCTGCGGCCTGGGCTGGCATGTTGCTATCGAGAATGGCCGTGAGGATGGCCGAAGCATTGTGACGGAACACGTCATCGTTCTCGTCTGGTGAGGCATCAAAGGCCGATTTCAGCTCGTCAAAAGCACTCTTGCGCGCTTTCCAGGACTTGTGCGTCAAGCGATCTTCCAATGAGAGAGCAGAAAAGTTCTCCTCCGACGGCGCGCCGTCCATTGTGGCGGGTGGGGCCGGGTAAACTATCTCAAGCTCGTCTGACTGTCATGGGTCGGAACAGGGATTCAGACCGTTTGCCAGGCCGATCGGGACCAATGCAGTTCGATCTTGTCTGCAGAACAAAGTCTGTAGGTTTTGTTGTTGTTGGTGCAACAGGTGGGGAAGACCGCCAGAAGTGTGGTGAGACAATGCTGCTCTCGCTCGCACAGGGCCATGCCGCGAGGGCACACTGGTCGCCCGCCGACATTCCAAGATTGGCCTGCCTCTCTCCTTTTCACCAAGTACATTCCAAACGATATCAAAAAGCCCGCTTGCTGACTTTTTCCACACCCACATTTTTCCCCCCTGCGTGCACATCTCTACGCGCACACGATGCCATTTCGGTCCCCCAACGCGACGAGGACGAGCACACGAGGACGCGACGACGCGAGCGACACACGACGTACCTGTCAGTCAGGGAAGAAGAGAGAGAGAGAGAGAGAGAGAGAGAGAGAGAGAGAGAGAGAAAAATCCGAAATTTAGAGAGAGAAAGAGAGAGAGAGAGAGAGAGAGAGAGAGAGAGAGAGGAAATTTGAAGCCAAAAGTATGACACTTGACACACTCTGAACTAAATCGATGGCTTGTCAGACGTTGAATTCAAAAATTCCCGCCATTTTGAAAGTGTGATGTTATCACATATTTCATTAATGCTGACAATAAAATGTCAGACAATGTAGCACTCAAGCACACACCACACGTTTGCGTCTTGCTTTACACACCATCGTAGCCCTTCGGCCACACTTGTAAGCCATTTGCCTTAGAGGCTTCAAGGTGAAGCTGTGATACATCGACAGCAGCCGGCCCACACACATCCAACCACTCGTCCACACACACACACAAGAGCACACACACGAGAGCACACACACGAGAGTACAGACGAAAGCCCATTTGACAGTTGCAGCGCGCACAGAAACGCAGCACAGACACAGGCTCGGACAACTCAGACACACAGACGCAGACGCAGACGCAGACACTCAGACACAGACTCAGACACGGACTCAAGAGACACAGACTCAGACACAGACACTCGACTCGGACACACAGACTCAGAGATTGACTCGCGGAGCGGCTCGCACATTGCTCAGAGCTGGTACGTCGTGCCCGTGGCGCCAGCAGGGAGCTGGGGGGCTCAATGGTAGAAGACGAACTTCAATAACTCCTCGTGGTTTGTGTTATAACGGTCCTGCACCTTTCTATGTGCGGGTTGCTGTGCAGGCCTGCAAGAGCCATAGCCAGAGGTACTGGCAGCTGTTCCTTCCGTCTTGATCTGGAGAGCTGGCACGCCCAGACCAAGAGTAGCCTTCAGCTCCAACGGCAGCAAGCGCTTGAGCCTGGGCCATGTTGCGCGCTCTGACCAGTCGCTGGCGGCCCGGCGCCATGCCCCTGTGCTCATTTCGAGCATTGCAGAGCGAGGCGCGCGCCAAAACGTGGGAGGTCCACGCTCTCAAAACAGCCCGTTCCTATAGCCTGCCCAAACTGGACAGCGTACTTGCAAGGCAAACGATGTTTGTCAAGGTACTGCACTCGGGAACATCTCCCATGCTCAGAGAGTCGCGATGTACCTCAACCATGCCCTTGATGCCTTTTTTCTCCTCTACCCCATGCCTGCCCTGCGCACGATGGTTGCGCTCTACTCCGCATAGACACCCTTTGTGAATGAGCTAGCGCAACACGTGCGTCACATCACGCTCAACTACGACAATAATGCCGACCACCAGCGCGTCTTCATCTTTTCCTCCGGGGCCATCATTGCCTGGGGCCTGCGCCCAAACGTGCTGCGTGCTCTCTTTTCCCTATTGCGGGCCGTCGAATCCGACCCCATTTCTCAGCGCCTTGCGGAACAAGAGCACGAAATTCTGCTCTACACCCTCGATGGCGGCCAACGTTCCTTCTTGCGCAAAGGCCTCATCCATCTTGCAGATCAGGATCTTCCAACAGTTCGTTGCATGGTTTCCCGGCCGATTTGGTGCGTGCCCCTCACCAATGGCAAGGAGGCCTCATGTTGCGCATGCATTTGGACCGAAACGATCATTGATGGCGCTTAGACCCAGCACGAGCACGACTACCTCGCTTTCCACAGCTCCGAGGATGCCCAGGTAAGATTATATAGTGGCCGTGAGATGCCTTGTGTTGTCGGTTGCAAACGAAAAAAGAAAAAAAGGAGACAGCAAAAGAAAAAAAAAAAATACGATTTTGCCGGCCATATTGCCTTTGGCTTGATGCTCATCGTGGCGCTACAGGTTGGCGATCGATCTCTCGAACAATTTGCAGTGTCACACGCCGTAGCCCTCTCTATAGAGCTGGGCATTTTGGAAACGGAATTGGCAACGTTTGCTCAAAAGGTTGGCTCCCTCACCCCGGCCAATGGCCAGCCAACAGCTCCTTGTTGACCCACTACGTCTCGTGCATTTTGTCTTGGTACAATCAGATTGAATGGATCACAAATGATATCAAGGAAGGTCGTGAGTTGCGGATATCCCGGTCCACGGTACTGCAGCTATACGGGGAGCTCCTCAGCCTTAGGCACAAGTAAGCAACTGCCCTTGCAACTGATGGCACTTGGCTTTTTATTTGCCTCTGCCAAGTCATCATCCTGCATGCTCATCGCATGGTCCACTCCTTAGCCTCAATCGCTCGACTGAACTGAGCGACTTTTATTGGGACCGCGAAGAACTTGAGGTTCTGTTTGACAGTGCCTGCCGCTTTTTGGACATTGAGGCACGGCGAAGGTTGGCTTGACTTGTCCCGCATCCCCTCTGGTGCAGACGAAGCCATTGAACAAATTGACCGGCTTTGTTGGCTCTAAAATTAGACTATGCAATGAGCGGGTGAGCTACCACAGCGAACTTGCCGAGCTGCTGCGCATTACATTGAGCGAGCGCCACAGCACGCTGCTTGAATGGGGTATTATTGGTCTCATCACAGTCGAGGTGCGCCATATATTAGTCAGAGCAAATCCTTTGGCTTTCGTTCTATTTTTCTTTGTTGCCTCCCGCCGCGTTTGTATTGATGTGCCACCTCTCCGCTCTTGTTGAATCTCCTCACAGGTTGCCTTCGAGCTCATGCACTACGCCGAGCGTTGGCTGGCTTGATTGACTATTGGCGTGCTATCTACCTAGCTCCCTCCTATTTTACCTCTTCGGGCAGTGCCCCTCGTTTTTACGTTGTAGAATTTTTGTCGAGCGTTCAATTGTGTGTGCACAAATGTGCGTGCATTCAACCTCACACCTTTCGCATTTTATATATCAACAAGAAAGCTCCAGGTACAGGGCTGCCGGGAAAGGGCGCACGCCCATTGTAGCCACAGTGTCAAAAAAAAAATAAAAAAACAACAAAATCAAAAAACCAAAGCCAAAACCAAGAGTTCAACTGAAACCAGCGAAACGAAACTGACAAGACTCGGTGAGCCCTCCCCAATCCGTCCCCCGTCGCCCCGAAACAAAAAGAGACATCGACAAAGAGCCCTCACGCATAACCACGAGACCACACAGTTCTATCATGATATCGACAAGAGACGAGAGGGTGGAAACAAAACGAAACCAACATGAAGACACCATCTCAAGAAATCGAGCACCACTTTGACAACTTCACTTCGTGGCATGCTCAACGGCGTTGCGAATCGCCTCAAGTAGTGTACAAAATCAAACCGACCAAAGGTCTTGATTCTCCGATCGGTGGCAAGGTACACTCATTCATCAGCTTCATCGTCAAAGGCAGCGTCCTCTTGCTCAAAACCATCGGCTTCGAGATATTCATCGGCGTTACCGCTTTGATCAAGGCCATCGGCCTCAAAGTATGAATCGTCAAACCCGTTCTGATCGAAGCCATCATTCGGGTCAAAAGCATCAAATCCAAATCCCGGCTGCTCTACATCCTCAAAGTTCTGCGCGTCCGCGCCCACATCCAAATAACCGCTCTCATCTTCCCCAATATCTGGCTCATTGAACATGTCCGAGTACATGCCATCGGCCTCCAAATCCTCATCATTGGCTTGCTCCCAAGCTTCTTGATGCACGTCCTGATAGTCGCCGTCCCCATCAGCGTCAGCATCATCGTAGGTAGCTCCCTGGGCCTCATCTATCCCGCCATCTATCATATTCCGGGCCAAGCCAAGCCAGAAACATAAGGCATGAACATTCTAGGGTGGTGCACAAGTGCGACGAATCTCATGCGCTATGGAAAGCTCCAGTTTCTTTGACTTACAGAGAGGGTTGACAACGCCGGTTCGGAAGTCACTCATGTTCTACGAGCCCCCAAGCAATGCGAGGTGAGACACGCAGAAGGCCTCCTCGATACTCACATGAATTTATTTCGCCAAAAGGCTATACATCAGGGT